GGCTGTCAGAGCTTCTTTGATTCAAAGGAATTATTTAGGATTTTTGGAGGATTGAAATCCTTAGAAATTTTTTCTATATCGGCTCTTTGATTCATAGGATTGGATCCCATAGGAATTTATCCTATGGAATCTTTTGTACTACATTTCATAGGAAATCTAACATCCACTCCAACTTCTTTTTACAATTCCTTTGTTTTTCATGTGACATCAAACACTCTTTGCTAATCCTATAGGATTCAAGTTGACATGCCACTGCAATCCTATACTTTTCCTATTCCTACATTTTCAAAATCCTGTGAATCAAATGTTGGTAAGGCCGAGACAGGGATGATTTTACGAGATGACTAGGGTAGATATTTGCTGCTTACAAGTATAGTTCACTCCAATAAGGATTTAGAAACCGAAATCCAAGCGATTGGTGAAGGGCTCTGGTTGGCGTTAGAACGATCAAGTCTACCTATACAACTTTAGTCCGACTGCGCAACCGCACTCAACGCGCTCAAACCTACTAGTAGCTTAGGTTTTTGGATCGTTCGACGTCTTGGCTTTGACGACGACGACGGAGATGCTAAATAAAGAAGCTCCGGATTCATCTCCGGCGAGACGATCATCCCTACCGTCGGTGATGGATTTGAGAACCAGTCCGTTCAAGCAGGGATGTTGTGGCGACAACATCCTTGTGGTGTACATGTGTCCTCAGACTCCACCGTTGCAACGGTGTGTGCTCCAACATCGGCACGGAGCTTGGGAGGTAGTCCATGAGCAGATGTAGATTGTGGTTTGTATCTAGAATATCTGGAAGATGAAACGTGTGCTGAGTTCGTGGTTGATGGATGGCAAGCATGATTTCCTCCTTCGACATCTTAGTCGTGGCGGGGTGCTAGATCTGGAGTTCGATGACGTGTATGGGGTGTTGCCTTGGTCTGATTCGTTCAACGACGATTGCTTCAATTTTGGTTCGTCACCTTAGTGGTCCGCAAAGCTGCATATCGGTGATGGAGCCGCGTCGAGCTCGGGTGAGAAGGTGATTCGTCATTTTTTTTCTTCGGTGGCTGCTTGGTGGTGTCGGAGGCTGGTGATGGGCCTTGGTGCCAAGCTCAGAGACGTACTGATGCCTTTCAGTTTTGTCATACTGGTCCTTACGTGACTTGTATTTTGATCTTTATTGTATCAATGACACACGTATTACTATGCAAAAAAAAGCGATAGTGCCTGGTATAGAATAAACCCTGTTCTTTTGGTCTTTTATATTTTTCTTCTTGTTTTTTTCTTTTTCACTTTCTCATTTTTGTAATCTCCGTACTGTAATTTTTTTTATAATATATGGTGAACATTAATTCACATACCCTCTTAACATTGTTTTAATATATGGTGATCTTTTTTGTAACATGCGTTGGACATTTTTTTAAATATACATTGGACATTTTTGTAATATAAATTGAACGCTCTCTTAATATATGATGAACATTGTTTATAATGCAGCATAAGCTTTTTTTGTAATATATGATGAATTTTTTTTACATATATGATGAACATTTGTATAATAGATGGTGAACCTTTTCTAATATATAGTGAACCCCTTTTAAATACACACTAAAGTTTTTTTTCTATAAACATGGATTGAACTTTTTTGTAATCTACGGTGAACATTACGATGACCCTGAACAAATTGTTCATTGTGTATTAAAGAACCAACTAAGCAATTGTTCATTGTATATTAATGAATTGTTCACCATTTTTTAATAAAATGTTCACCATGTATTAAGGAAAGGGAAAAAGGAAATAAAGAAAAAACCAGAAGTAAAAAACCAAACAAAAAATAGAGAAAGCATGGAAGAAACTAAAAAAAGAGCAAGAGAAAAAGGTACAAAAAGAACCGGCCATGTCGGTACTAAAACCGGCAGATCTCGGGTAGGGGATCCCAAGCTATGGATCTAGTAACGATGGGTAACAGGAGATAAGGGACATGATGTTTACCCAAATTCGGGCCCTCTCTGAGGGGTAAAACCCTACGTCCTGCTTTGATTGTATTGACAATGGAGTATCGAGTACAAGATGATCTACCTTGAGATTGAGATTGCATGTTATGTTCTAAACTCTAAGGCTGATAATTTTGATAGTGTCTCTGTGGACTATATTCCATGGTTTATATAGGCACCGGGGGTATCTAGGGTTACACGTGGTCGGTTGCCAGTTAGGAATACACACGCCAACAATTGGAGTAGTCCTTGAAGTACACGCCAAGTCTTCGGCAATGTCCATCTTGATCACGTCTGAGTTTGAAGCTTCCGGAGTTTTTCCTTGTGAGATCCGCGGGCCGTAAGCTCTGCCCATGGATTGTGGGCCATTTCAATTGGTACTCCTTAGCCTATGACACCGTCAGTAGCCCCTGAACTTGTCTTCGAAGCCGGGGACAACAATCTTCCTCGGACTAATGTCTTCGGCTTGAAGTGTCCGGCTCGACAGGCGAGTTACTCTTATCAGTCTTAGCTCGGCTTCCAAGCTCGTAACATATCATCGGTTCCCACTCATCGGAAGGATGTGGTCGTCGCAGCCCTAGCACTTTCCCTGTGGTTTAGCCATTGGTCCCACCATGGGTGGTCCTTTTATTAAAACAATTCTTTCTCGGTCCTTGAGCCGTTTGTGGAGCTGGCCGCTCTAGGCCCCTCTCAATGCTCCACCTTGTATGGATGCTAAGCATGCCATGTAGACGAAAAATCTGATGTGACAAGGCAATTAAGAGGAGAGAGATGGGTTTGGTAACCTCAGGAAGAACCAATGCCAAACGTGCGAACCTAGGCAAAATATTTAAATGAAGCAAACTCACCAATGCATGAGAGAGTTTAGTAGTTAAATCATTAAATGAAGGGAGCTTAGCTACAAGAAGCTAAGCACCTATGCATTGGGGAGTTTGGTTGCTAAGCTATTTAATATGCTTAGCACCCCATCTAAGTACCGGTCCATTGGGAGCAGCCTTATGGCTAGATGTCGAAGCGTCGCCCCTCGCTTTATTTATCTAGAGACATGAAAATTTTGGTGAAGAAAAATAGTCCTAAACGCTCCGGAAAAAAGTCAATTCTCCAAAAAGACTCTTTTTAAATCATTTTCGAGCAATGACCTTTTCCAGAACATTAGAACTTTTTTCTTCACAAAAATTTGCATGTATTTAGAAAAATCGCCAGTGTTTGTGGATAAAAAATAAATATTATTTTATTACTCCCTTCATTCCCTTATACAAGGCCACTTCGTTTCTCGTTCAAACTTTGACTCATAAATTGTAAACAAAATATGGATTATATGTCACAGAAAATATATCATTAGAAAGTTCTTTGAAATGTGCATCCAATTACATACTTTTTTGTGGCATATAGCTTGACTTTTGTTGATAAAATTAATGGTCAAAATTTGATATAAAAATATGAAGTGGCCTTGTATAAAAGAATGGAGAGTACTCATTTCTGATTTACTATTCAGAAGAGAGCATTTGACATCGCCAGCAGAAAGACACTTTCATTCCAGTTTGCCACTACTTGGAATTTCAGAGGAGAAAAGCGTCTCAAATTTTGAAATTTAGCTTACTATCATTTTAAAGTGTCGGTCTATGCCTCAATTGACAGTCTTATTTTTCATCCTGGAATTTTTTCCAAAATGCTTTACTCAAAATGAGGGAGTAAGGGACAAGGTCACATATGTATTAATAAAAGAGTATGTTTTTTCTTTATCTAAAAAAGACACATGCACAATGTTTTTGAATACTTGAGTATCGCCGACGAAAGGGAAGTATTACTAACTAGTCAATTCACACACGCGCGTGCGCGCGCGCACACACACACACAACGGCATCCATTGTGTTTCCTCCATTGTACTTGTGTTGATTGCTTCATGTAACTCGTGCGCGTGAGTATCCAATGCCCTCATTCATCAAAACCACCATCCTCCCGCATTAAAAATACAATTTAAATATTTCAGAAAATTCTGAAACATTTCATGGATGTCATAAGACATCTGTTGCAAGCCCTACAAACTTCAGATCAAACTTCATTTCACATATGGAGAAAGAAAAAGATAACTCCAGTGTGAGCACTCTCAAGAAAATCCAACATTACAAACCAACATGAGTTAGAAGGTTAGGAGGATAGTGGGATGTCCGATCCATTAGAGTTGAAGTCCTTGTCTTAACACTGGTGCTAGCATCTCCCTGAATTTTTTCCTGCCCTTCCGACAATGTACATTTAGTGGAAGGAGACGTTCTTGTCGACTACGAAGACTTCTATGACGACATTGTCAATCTTAAAATGATGAGACGTCTTAGTCTTTTGGAGATGCTCATAGGGGGTAGGATTGCGTGGGTCATCCATAAGGGTGAATGTACTCCCTTTGTCCGGCAAAAAAGTTACATGTAGAAATTTTGAAACAAATTATGGAGTGAAGTAAAAAAATGCATTCGAAATGTGCAAGCCACGATCTCTTTCATTTTCAATTATCCAACCCCCAATGAGTTAATTTCATGTGGAAATTAAGGAGACCATGCGTAGAATATTATTGGTCTTGATTTCTGTGTGATAAGAGAGAAACATTTTTTCTTCTTTAAAGTGCATTCGAAAGATAGAAAGACACACATTCATACAGATTATTCATCCTATATTTATTTTAAAAATATATTTGTTTAAAGTTTATAAGATTGAAAATAAAATCCATATAGTGTGTCGGAGAGAGAACTAGTAGGAATATAGTGCATCCACCTAGCATAGTACTCTGCTGCAGCATTGCTTCATAAAGTTGTCCGATGGCTATAGATAAAAGAATGATTACATGGGATAAGTGCACGAATCTCCTACAAGATGAATATCCCATACATGATAGAATCTCTTTTCTCGTTCAGAGTTCACACAGCTGGACTGTGACTTGACTGTACAGTCCACAAGGAAAAGCTCCTCGGCAAGACACAGCCGAGTCTCCCGTCCTCCTCCCCTCCTCCTAGACGAGCACCCACGCCCGCGATGTCTTCTCCCTCCTCCAACTCCTCGTCCTCCGACCCAGACTACCATGTCGCCGCCTCCGACCTAGACTATGACGCCGCTGCCGTCGTCCCCCCGAGGCGCGCCGACGCGGAGGACTACGTCTCGTTTCTGTGCACGCAGGACGAGGTCGACGCGGTGTGCGAGAAATACGGCGTCCCCAAGGATCGCTACGCCGCGCGCCCCGCCGGCGACCTGCGCGCGAGCTCGTCCCCGCCGCCGGGCGCCGTCTGCGTGTACGCGGGCGCGCTGGAGGCCGGGTTGCGGGTCCCGCTGCACCCCTTCTTCCGCGAGGTGCTCGCCCACTTCGGCCTCGCCCCGACGCAGCTCGCGCCCAACGGCTGGCGCACCATGGCGGGCTTCGTGGTGCTCTGCCACCTCGCCGGCGTGTCGCTGCCGCTGCTGGCCGTTTTTCGCCATTTCTTCCGGCTGGTCGTCCTCAACCTTAAGCGCAGAGGCTGGTACTATTTCCGATCTAAAGACACCTCCGGCCTGCGCTTCACGGGTTTGCCGCATGAGATCAAGGATTGGAAGCACGCGTTCTTCTTCCTCTCGTCGCCGGCGCCTTGGCCTTGCTCTGTGGAGTGGGACGAGCCGTCCAAGATTTCGCTCATGGACCCCGTGCTCTCTGCCGAGGACAAGAAATTGGCCGCGAAGCTGCTGCGCGCTCACGGAGGCTCCCCCGTTGATCTGGGGGCGTATCTCTGCAGCAGCAATCTTTCCGCCGCCATGATATCTCCGGTGCCGGAGTCGCTGTCACCACAGCCACCGCCTTCTTATACTCCTGCTGCTACCGATTCCAAAGGGATGGATCCCTCCGTCTACGACATGATGAAAACCATGCTGGCGGAGAAGATGGCCCGGCAAGCGTCGGCATCGGCAAAGAAGGTGAAAACAGAGCCAGGGTCATCGTCGTTGTGCGGGAAGAAAGGTAGCCCGGACGAGGCCAACGGCGAGGAGGGCCGTCCCCCTTCTTCGGACGCTCCACCTGCCGCCCGTGGCCACTTGGTGCCCACCAGCGTGTGTTCGCCACTGCCGGGAATCTTGCGGGAGCCACGAGACTTCGCCGACGGAGACGGCACAGACTGGGAGGCTGCACGGGAGCTGCTGCAGGGTGCGGTCGCGCCACCGCAGCAGCGCGTGTTTGCGGCGACCGAGCCATCCGATGTTGTCGCGTCAAGCTATGTCGCGATTCTCCAGGTATGCCAGAGAAGGCGGTGTCAAATTCAAGCTCTTCACTCGCCGGAGCATGCTCACATTATTTGTGCGCAGGCGGCGAACTACGTGTCATTCTCCTTGGACTACGCTCTGGAGTTGGAGGAGAAGCTGCTGGCGCGGGAGGCGGAGATCGCCGCGCTGCGGATGCAGCTGGAGGAGACGAACGGCGAGCTCGCCCAGGCGAAGGTGCCGCGGAGGTAGTCAGGAGGGTAGCAGGAGAGTGATCCGTTTCCTTGCTATACGAGACTCGCTGTCTAAGATCCAGTGACCTCTGGAGTGTTTAAGCGGTATCACCATTCAAATTTCTCAATATCTTTCCACAAACTAAGAAAACCTACTAATTGTCATCTCTGGCAGTTTAAGAAAGCTTATGTTAATTTCGTCGTCTCAATTAGTCTTTTGAATTGAAACTAACCATGAAGGGACATGGAATTTCTACTCGCAAACTCAAATGCTCCCTCATAAACAGTAAAAAAATAGTGACAAATCTAGCAAATCTGATATATTTTGTCAACAAACATTCATGAACTGTCTACATACGTGAGATTTTTGGTGAAGGAAAACGTTCTTAAATCTATTTCGTCCCAGTTTGCCACTACTTGGACACCACTTGGATTTTAGAGGAGAAAAGAGTCTCAAAATTCGACATTTAGTTTACTATTCTCATTTCAAAGCGGCGACCTATCGAAATTGCATAGGAGCACTCGGCGCCGACGCTCATCGGAATCCTGACCATGCAGGCGTCTTGGGATCCGCACACACTAAAGTAGCCCCACTGTATTCATAACATTTTCAGATCGTATACGCTTTCCACTGTTCCGTATATCAAAAGTGAGGTCCACGCGCTTCTGTCCCCGGAGAGCAAAGTCTCTGTCCTTATCACAGAGATTGAACTCAACTACCAACGCCCAACCACCTATTTCATGTTAATGCATGCACCAGCCTCTTCCATCCATTTCATGTTACCGTAGACAGGAAATTCCACCGCATCGTCATCACCCTGCTAGTCAGCATATCCAGGCCATGTTACCACATCAGTATTACAAAATAGTTATACCATGTCGCAAGGTTAAGTCTAGATTGATTTGTATCTAATCTAGGGCATTAATGTCATCTGTCATAAACTGACAGACAATGGCCAACTGTCGGTGTCAAAACCGGCGGATCTCGGGTAGGGGGTCCCGAACTGTGCGTCTAGGCCGGATGGTAACAGGAGGCAGGGAACACGATGTTTTACCCAGGTTCGGGCCCTCTTGATGGAGGTAAAACCCTACGTCCTGCTTGATTAATATTGATGATATGGGTAGTACAAGAGTAGATCTACCACGAGATCAAGGAGGCTAAACCCTAGAAGCTAGCCTACGGTATGATTGTTGTATATGAAGTTGATTGCCTACGGACTACAACCCTCCAGTTTATATAGACACCAGATAGGGTTAGGGCTACATAGAGTCGGTTACAATAGTAGGAGATCTTGAATATCCGCATCGCCAAGATTGCCTTCCACGCCAAGGAAAGTCTCATCCGGACACGGGACGAAGTCTTCAATCTTGTATCTTCATAGTCCAGGAGTCCGGCTGAAGGTATAGTCCGGCTACCCGAACACCCCCTAATCCAGGACTCCCTCAGTAGCCCCTGAACCAGGCTTCAATGACAACGAGTCCGGCGCGCAAATTGTCTTCGGCATTGCAAGGCGGGTTCCTCCTCCATGTCCTTCATAGAAGATTGTAAACACAAAGAGTAGTGTCCGGCTCTGCAAAATAAGCTTCCACATATTGCCATAGAGAGAATAATATTAACACAAATCAAATCTGCTGAAGTATTCCGCAGTGCGTCATCACACTACAGCCAAGTCCTTCACTCGAATCGTTTTCACTTTTCCACCTCAGCGTGTTTTGCGAGGCGGTTTCCTTGGCACGTCTTGTCAAAGCAGAGATCGTGTACCCTCCTTTTACGGGATTCTCATCAATACGGACGTGGGTAACCCAACCGTGCCACTTATCACGGCGCTTGGGAGGCAAGGGAGTTTTACTAGGTAGGTGGGGACGCACAACCGCATCCGCCCATATAAGGGGATAAGGATCCACCTTTTTACCTACGCCTTCTTCCTCCTTTGCCTATCCATCTCCTGCGCACCCGAGCTCCAGCGCCCAAGCCCGCACTTCCCACCTCAACCTTCTCCAGCAATGTCCGGAGCGGGAGGCAAGTGGATGGTCTCCTCCGCCACGGAGGGCAAAATCAAGAAGCTAAGGAAGGCCGGATACCTGTCCAAGGACATCGCGCACCGGCTTCCCGAAGAGGGGTAGCTTCTCCCCACCCCAAGGCCCCATGAGAGGGTAGTATTTCTCCCCCACTTCCTCCGCGGACTGGGTTTTCCACTCCACCCATTTGTCCGGGGGCTCATGTTCTATTACGGCCTGGATTTCCACGATCTGGCCCCGAACTTCATCCTCAACATCTCGGCGTTTATCGTCGTGTGCGAGGCTTTCCTCCGCGTCCGCCCTCATTTCGGCCTCTGGCTCAAGACCTTCAACGTCAAGCCCAAGGTGGTGCGCGGCAGCCAGGCGGAGTGCGGAGGCGCCATGGAGGGCAAGATGGCCAACGTCCTATGGTTCGAGGGCTCTTTTGTGGAGACCCTAAAGGGGTGGCAATCCGGGTGGTTTTACATCACCGAGCCACGCGATCCGAAATGGACCGCAGCCCCCGAGTTCCGATCCGGACCCCCCACGCGGCTTATGTCCTGGAAAGAGACGGGCCTGTCGTGGGGTGACAAAAAAGAGGTGACCGGATTACAAACATGCATCCAGTCCCTGGTGAACAAGCCAATCCGGCTTGTTAATGTAATCCAGGTTATGCTCGTCCGCCGGATCCTCCCGTGCCAACAACGGGATTTTAATCTGTGGGAGTTCGACCCGGCGCAGCACCAAACCCTTAGCAGGCTCTTCGACACGACATACGAAGATGCCTGGAAGGTGCTATTCAAGGGCGCCGAGGCTCCCGCATCCGCTTCCGAGGACCGCGGATACAGCTCGCAGCATCACGCTAGCGAGGTGAGCTATCTTCACCTTTTACAGGATGTTAAGTTTTCTTCATAGTTTGACTCTATGCGGGATCTAAACTCCCTTACCTTTGACAGGCTTGGCGGGTGATACCCGGACCGATTAACTGTCCGGCTCCGCTGCCCGAAGACCCAGCCCCAGCTCTACTAGTGAAGCTCCTGGTTCCGGTGCCTTATGTGGTGTCGGAGAAGAAGGCCAAGAAGAAGAAGACCACGGGGACTCGAAAGAGTGCCCGTAACATGGTGATGTCGGACTCGTCATCTGACGAGTCTGAGACGCCCTCCTCCCGTGAAAACGATGAGGAGGAAGAAGAAAACTCTCCCCCCCCAGCGGAGGGAGGAGAGAAGAGGATGGCCGCCCCAACGGGGGAGGCCGAGGGGTCTAGAAAAAGGAAGACCCCTCCGCCGGACTACGCCCCCAACGCCGAAGAGGGCAAAGAGGAGTGGCCAAACAGGGCCAAGCGTCCGGCGAAATCGTAAGTTCGAATATCAGAATAACTCATGATGTTCCTTTGTTCCACAGCTTTCCCTAATGTCGAGTGTAATTATGCAGTCTGCCCCGGGCCAAATTCGACGAATCGTCGGGCGGCTCCCTGGACTCATCGGACGTGAACTCAGGTCCGCCCGCTGTCTCTCCCCGCACTGCAGACGACGCCGAAGTGGCATCGCGACAAGCTCCGGGGCAGGAGGAGGTGGTCCCGGAGGAGCCGCAGGGCAACCTTCCGGACTCCAGGAGTGAAGGGGATAAGGCCCCCAGGGCTCCAAGTCCGGCTTTGTGCCGGACACCATGCCGAAATCTTCCACAGTTCCGAACCGCGGTAGGCGAACTCCTTCCAAGAGGAGCAAGCCTTCTAAGCCGGCGGCCTCCGTCCAACCGGAGGTGCCGGACAATCTGCTGGAGGTGCTTGACGACGCCTCCATCGACGAGGGGCACCGTACTACTATGAGTACGGTGATCCAGAAGGTTCAGTCCGCCAAGAGCGGACTGACTGAAGCTTGCGCTAGCCTTCTAACAGGCTTCGAGGTAAGTAAAAATATGTAAAAATATTACCGCATAGACAGTAGCCCCTGATGCTCTGTTTGGCGTTCGGAAAGAAAAGCCGAATAGAGGATCTATTAAATTTCGCAGGAGTCTAACAAAAAGAGTCAATATGCGTATGCAGGCTTCGCTGCTATCCACCGCCGCACTGACTGCGGAGGTGGGTGTCCTGAAGCAGGACCTCGAGCGGACCGAGCAAGAGCTCGGCCTTGCCAAGCGGCAGCTCGAGGAGAAAGAAGGTAAGAAATACCTTACAGAAAAAGTGCCTATAAAAAGGCGCGATTGCAAAAAGAAAAAATAACGGGATTGTACTGCTTATTGTAGGTGCCACGACTGAGGTGGCGACCCTTAAGCAGGCGCTGTCTGAGGCCGAAAAGAAAACGGCCACAGAGCGCACCGAGCGAGACAGACTTGTGGTTCAGGTCGGCGAGGTACAGCAAGAGCTTCAGGCTCTTATGAAAAAATATGAGAGTTTGGAGCTTGAGTCAAAGGCGCAAGCATCCGAGCTCGCGACGGCCCTTGAGGCTGCCAAGTCTGCCAAGGCCGAAGCCCAAAAGGCCCTCCAAGAGTTGGAGGAGATGAGGAAGATAGCAGCGGGTAAGGCATTTTTTATGCAAAGCAGAAATATAAAAGTAAACTACTTGTTACTTACCCGAATCAAGAGCTCTCCAGGGGCATTCGCAGATCTTCCCCGCAGCGTATCCGCCGCCGCCACATTCTACCGAGCTGAAGAGGGCAGCTCGACAGAGAAGGTGTTCTGGTCTCAGTATTCTGAGGCCGGACACCCTGTGCCTTTGAGCGACCAGCTGAAACAGCTGGTCGAGCTCCACAATGCGGCCGAACAGGCCATGAAGGGCCTCATAGTTCGGCTGTGGCCCGGAGAGGCCCTACCTGGGAGCTATTTCGGGCTGATGCGGCGGCTGGTGTAGGCCTGTCCGAGGCTCGAGGTCATGAAGCGCTCCGTCTGCATCGAAGGTGCCCGTCGGGCCCTTGCCCGTGCGAAGGTGCACTAGGGTAAGCTGGACGGTGAGAAGCTTGTGAAGGACGGGCCGCCGCCGGAGAAGGAGCATCGCAAGCCCGAGAACTACTGCAAGGATGTGCTTG